TTTTAAAGTGCAGAAGCTTGGTTCTACCTCCATATCTACCAACCAGAATTCTCTGGGGGTGAGACCCAGGATCTGCATTTTATCAGTCTCCCCAGTTGATAATTCCTGGCATACACAAGGAAGGCAGTGGGAGGTTGCTGAAAGATGATGGAGTTTTATACATGCTGAGCTCTAATTTAACCCATTTTACACAAGGCTGTTAGACTTACAGATAGATATATTAGCTATCTCCTTAGTTGGTTGAGTGTTCCTGTGATCTAGCTGTGTAGACAATGAAAACAATTTTAAGCAAGCTAAGTATATAAGAAGAATTCAGGCAATTCTGTCTGCCCTGCTCCCAACCACTTTCCTTTCACTCTGCCTTCAGGTCACTTCACATTGTCATCTCACTGCCAATCTTAACAAAAGATGCATTGTGTTAATCATCAATCTCATCTGACAAATTCAACAGGGCATAATCTGCCTGCCTCTCACCACCTCACCACCACACCACCAACTGAGGGTGTGATTGTTCCAATTTAACATTTTCCTCCTAAGTTCTTCCCCACTTCTCCCAACTCAGCTCCAAGTGGACAGTAAATTAAAAGGCCTCAACTCACTGAAAATATGACTTGAGTCCACCCCAGTGAGAATTCAGTCAGTAACTTCAAAAACATAAGGTGAGGGAGTGACATCAAATCTCAAAAGTAAGTGAAGGGCTGGGCACAGTGGTGCTTGCCTATAATCCCAGCTGCTTGGGAGGCTAAGACAAAACGATCAGGAGATCAAAGCCAGCTCAGCAAAAGTGAGGGGCTAAGCAACTCAGTAAGTTGCTTATACAATTACAAATATAAATACAAAATAGGGCTGGGGTTGTAGCTCAGTAGTCAAGTGCCCAGAGTTCAATCCCTGGTATTCCCCCCTCTCCGAAAAAAGAGATGTTTGTTTGGGGCAGGGGTGGTGGCTCAGTGGTAGAGTGCTCACATAGCACGCGAGAGGCACTGGGCTCGATCCTCAGCACCACATAAACTAAATAATGGTATTGTCTCCATCTACAACTAAAAAAAATTAAAAAAAAAAAAAAGTAAGCGAAGGGAGGAAGAAGGATGCCATAAAACATGTCTTCAGTCTAAGTAGACCTCAAGCCCTGAAGAAAGACTTCTTCCCAGGCGTGGTGGCACATGCCCATAATTCCAGGAGGCTGAGATGGGAGCATTTCGAGTTCATAGCCAGCCTCAGCAACTTAGTGAGGCCCTAAGCAACTCAGGAGCAGGGATATGGATCAGTGGTTAAGTGCCCCTGAGTTCATTTTTACAAAAAGGGAGGGAAGGAGGGAGAGAGGAAGGAAGAAAGACTTCTTATCCTACTCATTCCTCTGAACAGTCCAATGCTTGCCAGTCTCACCATCTTTTAGATGAATAGGCTGCTACAGGTTATCCTGGTCATTTAGATACTCAATGGTGGAATTATTCAGCATATTTCTTTCCAAGCAGTTATTACAAAATATTATAGGATAACCTATGGTACAGGATACCTATTGGACAGATGGACACAAAGGTGTTGCACCTTAAGATACAAAGAATAAATAACTTGGCTTACTGGGCAAGGATGTCTCACAGGACCATCACACATACAAGCCTCAATACTGGCTCATTTCCGAAGCTCAATCAGATCAGAAACCTAGCTAGCCTGATCCCAAACCCACAAGAACCAACAATGCTTTACCACCAAACCGTATCTTCAGTCCTTTTTTATTTTTGAGGGAGGATCTCACTAAATCACTTAGGGTCTCACAAAGTTGCTGAGACTGGCCTCGAACTTGTGATCCTCCTGCCTCAACCTCCAGAGTTGCTGGGATAACAGGGGTGTGCCACCACACCTGGCTTTTTTTCTTCTCACTTCATTAGTTCTTTAACACTTTGAATGCTTTATCAAAGATGTATTTTCTTAATCATGACCTAGGTATTATGTACTCACACCCTAACTGGTAAGTTAAAGACACTACATGTTACTTCTAAAAATGATGTTCTCATACCTGTACTGCAAATCAGAAAGATATCTTATAGCTGGGGGCAGAGGCACATACTGTAGTCCCAGATACTTGAGAAGCAGAGACTGGAAGACTGCTTAAGCCCAAGAGTTTGAGACCAACCTGGGCAACATAGCAAGACCTTGACTCTTAAAAACAAAAAGAAGCCAGGCCCAATTGTGCACACCTATAATCCCAGTGACTCAAGAGGCTAAGGCATGAGGATAGCAAGTTCAAAGCCAGCCTCAGCAACTTAGCAAGATCCTGTCTCAAAAATAAAAAGGGCTGGGGATGAGGTTAGCGGTTTAGGACCCCTGTACTTTTGGTACAGTCCCCAGGATCAAAAAACAAAACCAAAAGCACAATATTCTTGGGCTGGGGTTGTGGCTCAGTGGTAGAGCACTTGCCTCTCATGTGTGAAGCACTGGTTTGATTCTTAGCACCACATATAAATAAATGAATAAAATAAAGGTCCGTCAACAACTAAAAAAATAAAAATAGTAAAAAAAAAAAAAAAACAAAACACTCTATCCTCAATATTTCACTTCCAACCATGAAGGAATCATTCATGTTACCTAAGATCTGTAGAAGATAAGAAAACTAAGGCTCAGAGTACACCATATTCCTTTGAGTTTTTGCCCAGGACTAGAGTGCACATCAACATTGCAGGCAAAGGAAAAAAACATCCATCAACCTTCAGGCACACCATGCCAGACTTTACCCAGCTAAGGATTTGCTAACTTACTATGGTTAGATACTATATTAGCCTTTATCAGTTTTTTCCTCTCAAATGAATTGGCCTCCTTGGAAAAAAGTCTGTTAAAACTAAAATTTTCTGCTACTTCATGTAACAATAAAGCTATAAGACTCAAGGACACCACACATTTTGCAACATACAGTGACAAGTGAATGAAATGCATGTTTACACAAACTTGGGACACAAAAGACAGAGCCACACCTACGGATAACTCATGGCAAAAGCAGGGTCTGCTGGTGTTTTGAAAGTTGAACGTAGAAGGACATGGTAGTGCACACCTAGGCTGAAGCAGGAGGATGAAAAGTTTGAGGCCCGTCTGGGCATTCAAAATAAAAAATGTGTTAGGGTAGCTCAGTGGAATACCACCCCTGGCCTCAATCCACAGAGCTGGAAAACAGAAGGAGTCCCTGCCCTACAGCTCAACTCACCTGTTCATTGATTCCTGTAGTTACGTGGAGAAAATATTTGTAACTTGATAAAAAGCTTTGATAGACTCATTGACAAAGTAAAAAAAAAAAAAAAAAAGAGGAGACAAATTTGACTTAAACTCAGCTCTACTGAAAGCCAGCTCCACTCACCTTTAGCAGGAACAGAAATATGTGATTTTATTTCACAAGTTCCATAATTTTGTTTTTGTGATTATTTTGTGGTAGGAGATTCATGATCAGTCCTAAATTACTAACCAGCACTAAAGGGCTAGAAAACCCTAGAAAGGAGGTAAAAAGATTCCTTTTTCCATGGAACCCAAAGTCTTTTACTTCTAATTATTCTCACATGATTTTCTATATGCAACTCACCAACAATTGAGGTTAGTGACATTCTCTCAAAGTCAGAACATAGTAAGTTAAATCCAGAGAGTGGACACTGCACTGTCACACTTTATGGCTCACACTCTAGCTCCTCAGCAAGAAAAACCTACCGTCTTTGTGAAACTGATGCAAATACAGTCATATCCTTGCAGTTTTGATTCCTTTTCAGCAAGGCTATCAGTCATGACTGGCTTTATTTTTTGATACCAGGAACTGAACCCAGTAGTGCTTAACCTCTGAGTCACATCTCCAGACCTTTTTTATATTTTATTTAGAGACAGGATTTTGCTGAGTTGCTTAGCTTCTCACTAAATTGCTGAGGCTGGTTTTGAACTCGCCGTCTTCCTGCCTCAGCTTCCCAAGCTGCTGGGATTACAGATGTGCACCAACATGCCCTATATGATCTTTCAACTGGCTTAAAAATCCACTCTTAGGAGTCCAGTTAATCAGAAAATGAACTGAACAACTATCACCTAGTAAAAATTCTCATGTGCACATCAGCTTTTCACTTTATTTCTTTCTTGGAAATGGAGTTTCACTATGTTGCCCAGACTGATCTCAAAACACCTGGGTTAAGTGATACTCCCCCCTCAGCCTCCCTAGGAGCTAGGACTGCAGGGGTACCTCTGTGTGATTGGCCTCACATTAGCTTTTAATTTGTTTGAAATCTGTTATCGAATTCCATTTGTAACATTAATCTTCCAATGCTATAGTTCTATCAAAATTCCCCAAAAGGCTAATTGGAATTCATGTATGTAAGTTATTAACCCTGTCATGCAAATCAAGCAGCTCTATGAAAGCAACACACAAAGCACATGGAACAAACAGCATAAAACTGATCTATTCTACTATGAATTTTATTGAATTTAAAGATGGTATTCCTTTAATTAAAAAAAAAAGAAACTAAAATTAAGTTGAACAAGCATAAGAGATAAAGCAATGATGAGGCCTGCTCAGACTACACTGGAGCAGACACTAGTTTATACCAGAGCCCACACGAGGGTGTTTTTATACAATACAGACAGACATTAACAGTAGCAACATAATGGCCACAGAATGAGACCCTAAGTGCACATAAACTTTGTGAGTTCTAGTGAAGCTCTGTCAAGCCTACCATTCTTTTCTTACCAGCCAGGTAACTCAAGTCTCCTAATGCCAGAAACTTTAAGGCTCTTACCAGCTGTAAATGACTACAACTGAAGGCCTTTTTCCTAATTGGCTGCTTTTCCAGTTTAGAGTTATCTAGCAGGTTAATTTTAACATGACAAATGATGTCATCTATATAGCTACAACATGCACTGGTGACAAGAAAGGTTTAATGAGTTTTGTGCTGAGACTGCTGGACCTTCTGGCTGGTCTTCTCCATTTTTGCACTTTGGTCCTGAGCATTCTGAGACTCAGTCAGCTGAGGATAAAAGGGACCTACCAGCCAGTTGAGGGGGGTGTTGTTAACAAGATAATCCATCACATCATCTAAAGATTCCTTCATTTTCTGTAGCTGCCCCTTGCTAGAAGTGAGGAAGCCATCAGACACTTCTTTAAAGGAGGCAGCATTGCGGAATACTGAGTAGATGTCGCCTGCCATCACCCCCAAGTGCTTGGCCTGATCTTGGATGTTCTGTGGTAACCCTTGAATGCTGGACAGGAGGGTGTGGCATGTGGTCTGGAGCTGCTGAGTCAGGTTTCGGGCAACAGCAAGAGTATGTGACTCGATGTGCTAAAAATAAGACCAAGTTAAGAATTAGCAGTGGATTCAACAGTATTATGTGTGAACTAGTTTAATCACAGTAAACTAGTTATGTGTCCACCATAAATGCAGACTCTGATATTTTAAAAATCCTCGTAACAATAGCTATGAACATAAGCTTAGGGTTTAAGTAACTTGCCCTAATTAACAGTTGGAAAATAGCTGAGTGGGGCATATGAACTAGTGCATGAGTCTCCAAAATTCCTCACCTTAAACTGAAGAAATATAACAGGCAGAGGAGACCAGAATAAAAACACAATCCATGCTAGTAGTATATTTAAATAACTCCTCCTCAAATAAGTTGACATAAACAGTCACTACTGATTTCAAGGCAAACACACACTAGCTTTCGAGACACAAAGAACCATTTTCTAGAACTCCAACACTAGTTTCTTCTTTCTGGAGCATTAGTCCCCTTTCTGGCCTTTAACCTAGTTTATTTACCCTTTAGTTCTCAGCTTTGCATTCATCTTTGACTCAGCCACCCCACTCCAGGGCTGTAGTAGACAGCCTTCCTATATACTCTCATAGCACCTAGGTTTATCCTGGCAAAAAACACTACGTGTCTATATTCCCCATCAGTCTGTACCCATGTTTCCCATTTGGGGGGCAACATGTCAATCTGCAAGTTGTAAGATAAAGTTACTCTCTGCCCAGTTTTGTTTCTCTGCCACATAACAATCTATATAGACAATACTGTTCAAACTTTTGACAAGTAATAGTATTCTAAGAGAGTTGAAGGAATACTGTAATGAAAAGTCTAATAAGAACTTCACAAACTGTTGTAAAAACTATCCCAGTCCACTTACCTCAGCACAGTGGGATTCATCTGTATCATCATGGCCGATGCTCCTCTTCCAGTCCACCCATGAGAGATAGAGTTTATCCTGAGCACCCTGAATTTTCTGGTTGACACTATGCACATTCTTTCTGGCAAATTCAATCTGGAACACAACAAAATAAGAAAAGGGAATATACTGGTCAAACATTTTTGTCAGCTTGTTTGCAGCTCCATGATATGAATCAGATAACATAAAAACCAAGAACCATAAGATTCTATCCTGATATCACTGTTATTTATTATCAATGTGTTAGTCAACCAAGCACAAGTAGCTCTTTCCTGCCCCTCTTTAACTATTAAACCACTGACTCCAAATGCACCTCTAGTTTAGCACACATAAGACAACTAAAATTCAGTTTGTATGTATGAAGGATAATTAGAACTATAAAAAGGGAAACCAACCTTCCTCTCCCCTTTTGCCAGCAACCTATTTCCTCTTCCAAGAAGAAATGGTTTTTCTACCATTGTACAGTACATACTGTTCTATAATTTGGCAGTCTTTAATAGCTACACAATAGTCTATTGTGGAGTACTAATTTAATTAGTCCCCTATGGTTGATGCGTACTGTTACAATCTCTTATGACTCTAAACAAATATATGTAGGATAATCAGAAGAGAAACTCCTAATACTGGTACAGGTGTGTTATAACTTTACCAGAACAATTCTTTGACTCTGTCCCATTTTGAATCTTCTAGAAGTGCACAGTATTGTTCTTTTTCTACATCACTACCAACAGCATCAAATTTTGCTAGTGTGACGGAACAAAAAAGGTATCTGTGCCTGACATCTGAGTAAAATTACCATTCGTATTTTCAGCTATTTATACTTCCTTTTCTGTGAATTGTCTGTATCCCTTTGCCCATTTTTTGGGGGGGCAGGGAAGGATACTGGGGCTTGAACTCAGGGGCACTCAACCACTAGGCCACATCCCCAGCCCTATTTTGTATTTTATTTAGAGACAGGTTCTCACCTAGTTGCTTAGTGCCTTGCTTTTGCTGAGGCTGGCTTTGAATTCTCAATCCTCCTGCCTCAGCCTCCCGAACCCCTGGGATTACAGACGTGCACCACAGCGCCGGCTGCCCATATTTTTATTAGATTTTCATAAGGTAAGATTAAATTCTAGGATTTCATGGGCTGAGGTTGTGGCTCAGCAGTAGAGCTCTCACCTAGCATGTGCAAGGCGCTAGTTCGAGCCTCAGCACTACATAAAAATAAATAAAATAAAAGGTATTGTTTCCGACTACAACAACAACAACAAAAAATTCTAGAATTTCTTGACTATACCTACTCTTATTCCATGAGATGAATGAGCTTATTTTGGATATCACAAAGGAAGCTTTACTCACCAGGTGAACAGTAGAATGAAGCTGAGAAATAGTCTCTTGGCTCATTTGCTTAGCTTCTTTAACCCTGTTGAGTGCCTGCTGGTAGGCCCGAGCGCGGAGCTTGGTAGACAGAGACCCCAGTCTCACATAATAACTTGGTTTCTGAACTTCATCAAATCCTTCAACTTTTTTTGCTTCTTTTTCTGAAGTTGGAAAGAAGGGACAATTATCGGTACCAATGTCTAAACTATAACCTGGGTCTTCTCTGCCCACCCACGTAGCAAGTACAATCTCATTTTCCCAAGACTGCTCAAGCCTTCAGCTGGGCTTGATCACCTGAATCTATTACTGTATCTAATACATGTTACATATCTACCCATGCTTCCTCCCACTAGAAATAACTTGAGCAATGAAGTACCTGGCACACCATAGATACTAATGTGCCTTTGTTAGCGATGATTCATTCTAATAATGATTCTGTAAAGCAGCCCACTAAAGACAACCCATGGCACAATTATGTATGCCAGTAATCTCAACATTACAGGAGATGGAGACAGGAGGATCCCAAGTTCAAAGGCAGCCTCAGCAACTTAGCAAGGACCTAAGCAAATGAGTGAGACCCTGTCTCAAAATAAAAAATAAAAAAAGGACCAGGGATATAGCTCAATGGTAAATTGCCCCGGTTCAAATCCCCCCCCCCAAAAAAAAAAACAAAAAGGACAACCCATTTATAGAAAATTTTTTTCAAGGCAAATTTCTCCTGAAGCTTTAAAACTTAGTATGTTGGGGCGGGGGGTGAGGGGTGGGGGTGGTTATCATTAAAAAGTTTTTTTAAAAAACCTTAGGTATAATTCAGTATGAAACTTCAGATTGCTTTAAGTAGGAAATTTATAAAGAAAGATGAGTGGTTATGTGGGGAAGGAACAAAGGACTGACTACAAACAGGCATGAAGTATCTTTTGGGGACATAGGTCTGTTCTAAGCAATTGAATGAGATCCTGTCTCAAAATAAAAACATAAAAAGCACTGGAGATTTAGCTGTGTAGTAAAGCCCCCTGAGTTCAATCCCTAGAACCAAACAAAACAAAAGTTCTTAAACTGGACAGTGATAATGGCTATACAACTGTAAATTTAGACTGAAAACAGGTAAATGTTTTTGGTATATAAAGTCTACCTCAATAAAGGTAATCTTTTTAAAAGACAATCTTTATAGTCCTTTTTAAAAGACTAGTTTAAGGTATAAAACATTATTTTAAGACAAAATTCCCAATTACCTATTTCTTCTTCAGTGAGAGGAAGGTACTGATCTACCAGCATCTCGGATTTGCTGATTGCATTTTCTACTCCACTGCTCACAAACTGCACCATCCGACTTTCCAAAATTGTGTTAATGCCGCCATTGACCACAGACTTGGTCTTCTCCACCCCGCCAGTCACTGCTCCTTTGGTCTTGTCCATCACCCCTGTGATCGTGCTGGCTACAGAATCCTTGGCCCCAGTCATAGTAGTCGTCACAGCATCTCTCGCCCCAGTCACAGCCCCTTTGGCACTGGCAACAACCTGAATGTGGAAAAGCAGATCAACTGGCAAATAAGGAATATGGGCACAAACCCACTGTAAGGTCTTACAGAGGAAGCATCATTTAAGAGTTAAAAAGGATTCTGGTCCTTTTGCTGCCTAATTTTAGGTCTTGGCTAAGTCACTAGTATTCAATTAATCTTAATTTCTTTGTCAGGTCTATTTGTCCTACCTAGCCACTCCTCAAGGATTGTTCACAGGTACAAATGAGGGAAACAAATATGAAGTTTGTTCATTTGTCAAGGCAAGTTGTTGTGGGACTTTTCTATTTTATATTGTTTTGTTTTTCTGGGTTTTCTGTTGTTGTTTTTGGTGGAAGTTTTTTGTTTTTGTTTTTAACTAAATAAACCTTTGGTACAAAAAGTACTCTAGGGAAGAATGGCATGCTTATACTGAGAACAGCTCATGCTTGCCTAAGAACATAGCCATAGGTACGCCATGCACATGCTGCCCTTTGTACCCACAGCCCCAGAAGGTCAATCCACAGTCAGTTCTCCATCCTGCTAGGAGTCTTAGATAGCTATCATTCATACAGGACCCTCTAAATCACCAGCCTGCCCATGCTCCACTCATGAGACCCTAACTCGTGGGAAAGCCTAGCTCACTATCTCATTTTGTTACTGTGGAGAAGATGCAGCTGGGTGTGGTGGTGCACACCTCCAACCCCAGCAGTTTGGGAGGCTGAAGCAGGAGGATTGCGAGTTCAAAGCCAGCCTCAGCAACTTGGCAAGACCCTAAGCAACTTAGAGAGACCCTGTCTCTAAATAATAATATAAAGTGGGCTGGAGATGTGGCTCAGAGGTTAAGTACCCCTGGGTTCAATTCCTGATATTAAACAAACAAACAAAGAAGGAGCTTTTCTAAGTTGGAGTCAGGGGAGGGAAAGGAAAAGACATGAAAGATTCCCTTCAGGCACATCTCAGGCATAGAACATAAAGTTCCAAAGTGATTTCATAAACTGGCGATTTGTCCAAGATGTACATGAAAGGTGGACTAAAAACCTAGATCCTGGCTTATTCCAGCGTCCCCCTCTTTTTTTTTTTTTAAACTGGGGATTGAACCCAGAAGCGCTTTATCAGTGAGTTAATTCCCTAGTTACTTTTTATTTTTTGAGACAGGGTCTTACTAAATTGCAGACACTAGTCTCTAACTTGAGATCTTTCTACCTCAGCCTCCTGAGTAACTGAGATTATAAGCATGTGTCACCACACCCAGCTTCAGTGCCACTTTTAATATGAGAAGAACAAATTATAAGAAATATCATGAAAGTGGTAAAGGCTGGGATTTGAGACAGGGATCACAACACCATAACCCTTTCACCTGAAAACAGAATTACAAGAACATCTGTAGCTCCATAATTATAGTTATGTGATTAAATGTGAGGAAACAAAACTTTCTTTTCTCAAAACCAGGCTTCCAGCATGCTAAGGCAAACATTCTATCCCCTGAGTTATATTCCCAGCCTTTAAATGAACTATTTGACTTTAAGATATTTTCAACTTGATGAATTTATTGACATAACTGTCAAAAGTCAAGGTGCATCTGTATTACATACATAATAGAATAGATATGGTAATTTAAGATACATTGGATTCAGCTGGGTGCAATAGTACACACCTATAGTCCTACTTAGGCCACAGGCTAAGGCAGGAGGATCATTTGAGCTTAGGAGTATGAGACCAGCCTGGGAAAAACAGCCTGACTTCATCTCTTAAAGAATAAAAAACTAAAAAAAAAAAATAGGGCTGGGGTATAGCTCAGTGGTAGAGCACTTGCCTGGCCTGCATAGGCTCTGTGCTCCATCCCCAGTATCACACAAAATAAGAAAGATTAAAAAGTTAAATAAGGCAGATTTTGCTAGTAAGTTCACCTGGAACTTAATTACATGGGCTTATTATTAAGGACCTCCACCCAAGATAAATGCGAACTCCTAGTCCTATAAACAGAAGTTATCTGCTTTAATAATTATACTAGAAATAACTAACCCCATTGGTTCCACTGCTTTGCTCATTTTAGTGCAAACTGAGATACGCAAAATATCTCTTAAGTAAAAGGCGGTTACATAGGCCTTTAATCAAAGCACACAAAAGAAAAAAGTATGTAGTTGTTAAATCAAATTCAAATAATTTCAAAAGATTTATAAATCTTTTAGAATCTTTAGACTTATCTACTAATAGCTTATCATAAAAAAAAACTAGATGCCTTTGACTGGGGGTTTAGCTCAGTGGCTGATCTCTTATCTAGCCAAGTTTGAGAACCTGGGTTTAATCCACAGCATGGCAAAAAGCAAACAAAAAACTAGACATCCACAGGGCTGGGGGTGTAGTTCTATGGTAGAGCATGTGCTTTGCATGTGCAAGGGCCTGGGTTCAATCACCAACAAGCTACCACCCCAAATAAAAACAAACACACTAAACATCTAGTTCACGCTTCAAATGTCACATTTGCATGAGGATATGGTTAAAGGGGGAAAAAGGATCAAGAATAAAGGTGGTAACTTGTTACCTGTTAGTAAGGTTATATAGCTCAGGTCACATAAATCCAGCAAGGAAACTAAAGATCAAACTAAATTTGACATTCAAGGTATTAGCATACAGAGCTGTCTAATTCAAGGAGAAGACATGGAAAGAGACAGAAGAGATGATGAGGGAGTATACAGACACTTGAAAACCTACCCTAAATTACTTGTTATTTATTAATATCTCAGGGGAAGAACTTTTTTATTTTAATTTTTTAATTTTTTTCCTCCAGTGCTGCAGATTGAACCCAGGGCCTCATGCATGCTAGGCAAGCGCTCTACCACTGAGATATATATGTATGTATGTGTGTATATATACACATACACACATACATAAACATATACATACACCAAGGCATTGGAAATGTCTTGATTTACTAGAGCTTTAGGCTTCCAACAACCCAATCTAATTCCTTTTAAATAAAGGAAACTGGCTGGGGATGTGGCTCAAGCGGTAGCACGCTCGCCTGGCATGCGTGGGGCCCGGGTTCGAACCTCAGTACCACATACAAACAAAGATGTGTGTCTGCTGAGAACTAAAAAATAAATTAATTTAAAAAAATTAAATAAAGGAAACTGATTTTTAGTATTATACACAAATCACCAAAATTTAAATATCCAAAATGGAAAATAATTCATCAACAGATGAGTATGAAGCAACATTAGTGAAATTGTTAAGCAGATGTACATGTAATTAATTCTAAAGGCTATACACTAAACTTATCTACTTAAATTATGAAAGACAAAAGACAAAGGCTGGAGATTTAGCTCAGTGGTACAGCACTGGTCTTCCATGTGTTAAAGCCTTAAGTTCACTCCATACTTAGCACAGTAGGGGTGATTTAATCATGAAAAACAGAGACAGATTTCTCACTAATTGGTATCATTTTATGTATTTTTAATCTGAAAGAAACTTTCAGTACCTTATCTGAACCAAAGTATCACTGGGGTGGATAAGCCTATCATTTCTGTCAACATGGGCTTGCTGTCCTTATGCATGGTAGTCCCTATCAGCAATGCACCAAGTAAGAAAATCTTCCATATACCACTTCTGAATGTATCCAGCACCACACTGGAATCACTTATTTGAGACCCATTTCATCTACAAGGGCAAAGTCACAAATTGATAAGCTAAAAGTACTCTACCCAAAGCTGGCTAGTTCTCTGCTTCTTGAACACAACCTAACAAAAGTTCAGAAAGTAAGTTAGTGGCCAACGTCTTTCAAAAATACATCCAGTTCCAGGGTAAGGGAACAAACAAGTGTTTTCTTGTTTATGGCATGCACAGTCTGTGCTAAACAGTAGAATGTGAAAACATGTGCAGTAGCAGACCTCATTACTTTTGTCCCAAGCTCACCTGTGATGTTGGCTGATTCAGAATAGGCAATTTCTCCTCAATCCTGTCCAGCCCCTTGCAGGCATAGGTATTAGCAACTGCAACTGGAAGAATCACAAATGTTGCTGAGATTATATAGTGAAACTAAATAATGCCAATGTAACGTGTTATAGAATGAGCCCACACTGCTGTACCTCAGGTCTTTAACCTTTTTATAACAAAACAGCCAAAATGTTTAATGTTTCACCACAATATGCATTATCTGGCTTCTCTAGATCAGACAGAAAGAAGCTTGGTAGGTTGTTGGAAACTTTTTTCCACCAAGAGGTAAATAAGAGGGTGTAAAGGAGGTGTACACAGAGGCAACATCATGTCAGTAGGAAGTTGGCTAAGAAACTTCTTCCTCAACAGCTGACCCCTAATGTTAGTGCCAAGAGTAGCAAGGCTTTCCCTGAACCCTTATTCAAAGAATAAAGTGTCCAGAAACTCTCTCAAAATTAGCATTTCCATTTTAGTTTAATCCCTACTTAATTCATGTACCTAATTTAGTAGATGGCAGTACATTTTGGGTTCTCACCAGGAAACAGTACGCTAACTGGAGTTCCCTAATAAGGTACAGATTTCAGTCCAAAGCTTCCCCTAAGGTTGACCAAGCCAAGTACTCATACCAAATTCATTTGGAAATTGGCATTTAAAGGTTCCTTACAATCCTGCAAATTCATGACTTAACCCCCATTTCGGGAATGATTTAAAATTTTTATTAAAAGAAATTCATGCATACTGTGGAGAAAATAGAAAACTTCCCACTTTGTTGTGGGAATGTAAAGTGTTGCAGCCACTTTGGAAAACAGTCTGGTTGTTCCTCAAAAGCTTAAACACAATTATTATGTGATTCAGGAATTCCATTCCTAAGTATGTACCCTAGAAAATTAAATTACATCCATACAAAAACTTGTACATAGATATTCACAGAAATATCATCTACAAAATGTAGAAGCAACCCAAGTGTCCATCAACTGATGAATAAACAAAAACATGTCTAAGTACACAATGAGGTATTTTTCCACAATAAAAAGGGATGAAGGGCTGATATGATACAATAAAATGGATCAACTATGAAAACATGCTAAGTGAGCCAGGCATGGTGGCACACACCTGAAATTCCAACATCTCAGGAGGATGAGGAAAATCACAAGTTCAAGCCCAGTCTCACAGCAATCTAGCAAAGCCCTAAGCAATTTAGTGAGGCACTGTCTCAAAAAATAAAGAAAGAAAAATAATAAAAAGGAATGGGCCATTATGAAGTCAAACAACAACAAGGGCTGGCGAGGATGTGGGGAAAAGGATACACTTGTACATTGCTGGTGGGACTGCAGATTGGTGCAGCCAATTTGGAAAGCAGTATGGAGATTTCTTGGAAAGCTGGGAATGGAGCCACCATTTGACCCAGCTATTCCCCTTCTTGGTCTATTCCCTAAAGACCTAAAAAGAGCATGCTACAGGGACACTGCTACATCGATGTTCATAACAGCACAGTTCACAATAGCAAGACTGTGGAACCAACCTAGATGCCCTTCAATAGACGAATGGATAAAAAAAATGTGGCATTTATACACAATGGAGTATTACTCTGCATTAAAAAATGACAAAATCATAGAATTTACAGGGAAATGGATGGCATTAGAGCAGATTATGCTAAGTGAAGCTAGCCAATCCCTAAAAAACAAATGCCAAATGTCTTCTTTGATATAAGGAGAGTAACTAAGATCAGAGTAGGGACGAAGAGCAGGAGAAGAAGATTAACATTTAACAGGGATGAGAGGTGGGAGGGAAAGGGAGAGAGAAGGGAAATTGCATGGTAATGGAAGGAGACCCTCAGGGTTATACAGTGGAGGGGGTAGAGAGAGAGGAGGGGAGGGGAGGGGAGAGGTGGGGAGGGGGGAGGGTGGAGGATGAGAAAGGCAGCGAAGCACAACAGACACTAGTATGGCAATATGTAAATCAATGGATGTGTAACTGATGTGATTCTGCAATCTGTGTATGGGGTGAAGGTGGGAGTTCATAACCCACTTGAATCAAAGTGTGGAATATGATATGTCAAGAAATTTGTAATTTTTTGAACAACCCACAATAAAAAATTTAAAAAATCAAAAAAAAAAAAAAAAAGGAATGGGAATGTGGTTCACTGGTAAAGCACCCCAGTACTAAAGGAAAAAAAAAAAACATGCTAGATAACCAACATTTTATGATTCTATTTTTCCAGTTCTGATGATTAAATCCTGGGGGACTTTACCACTGAGCCTTTTCTCTATTTTCATTTTGAAGACAGCATCTACTAAATTGTCCACACTGGCCTCAAACTTAGGATCCTGACTCAGCCTCCAGAGTAGTTGGGATTATAGGTATGCGCCACTATGTCCGCCACTATGTCCACTCACTTTGTGGCTCTAGCTTCTGGATGATAGGAAGAGCACTTGTCACCGCTACAGAGGTCATGGTCTTCACACCCTTCTCTGCCATCTCACACACAGACTTCAAGTAGGGATACTGATCCTTTGTACTGACATAAGCCGAGGACACCAGGTCATACGTGGAGCTCACCAAGGGCAGGTTGGCCACCCTAGTCACCACACTCTGTAACCAAAGAGGAGTAGATGTTAAGTTATAGAAACACGTCAGGAGAGGAAGGAGTCAAGAAAACGGCTATTTAAAATTCATACCGGTTGAGGATCAACTGCAACAGATGCCATTTTCTTCCTGGAGGAGGAAAAAAACAAACCTGTGGAAGAGAAACTGGATTTCAGGACACTGGGATGACTCCCAGATTAGTTCCCCAATCCAAGCAAACGCTTGCTCCTTTCAAGTGAAAAAAATTCAAGAGGTGCTAAGTGTGGTCTCCCGTGCTTCTTCCCATCCTCTGAGTCCTCTCCTGGGCAAACACCCCTTAAGGTAGTTTTGGGAGCTTAAGTTTAAACTTAGAAAAGAGGCACAGCAGGGAAAGTCAAAGTTGTTGACATAGCTGTCTTGCTTCACCACCAGGAAGCTAGAAATGCCCATCCTTAACTGGGGATTTAAGGGATTCCACGTTAGGCTAAACTCTACCACTAAGGTAAACCACAAACCCTTTTTGAAGACATGGTGTTCCTAAGTTGCTGAAGCTGGCTTCAAACTTGCTATCCTCCTGCCTCAGCTTCCTGAGTCGCTGGGATTATAGGTGAGACCCACTATGCCCAGCTTCACAAATGCTTTTTTTTGCTCACAAATTGCTAACCAGATTAAAATCCATGTTGAGACTAAAGAAAAGTTTCAATAGAAGATATTTTAGTCAACACTCCTTTGAGAAATCAAAGGATCAGGACAATAAAGTTGGAGCACTTTTATGGGGGCTTATTTTTAACTCCCTTCTAAAAGGACTGAAACTACTTTATGAGCAACCAAGCTTAAGAGGAAGGAGGTGCTCAGAGGAATTGAAAAACATTTCAGGATGTGTTACGTGTATATTTTTGTAGCCCCAAGAACCCATACCCACACAAAACTGCCGCCCTGACAATCAGCTAACCTGGAAGCAAATAACCAGCCAAGCCGGCTGCCCACCACTTCTGGGCGTGTCAGCCCAAGTCTCCCACCACCAAGGGTCACAGTTCTACAAGAAATGAGTAAGAGCCAGCCGCGGCGGCACACACTGGTAATCCCAGCGTCTAGGAAGGCTGAAAGCAGGAGGATCTGAGTTCAAGACAGCTTCAGCAATTTAGCAAGACCCTGTCTCTAAATAAAATACAAAATAGGGCTCACTGGTAAAGCGCCCCTGGATTCAATCCTTGGTACCGAGACAGGTTGAGAGAGAAAAAAACAGAAACCTGGAGAAGTATTGATAGCCTTATTGTTACTGTATACCCCCCCAAAACTCTTGCCTTACAACAATTTCCTAACTCCTTCCCCACAACCTTCCTTGCACACCAAGAGATACTTGATAACAGCACAGAAGCTATTAGAAGAAAAGCCTCCATCAACAAAAGCGCCGGTGGAGCACGGACGACGGAGAGCAGGCGTCCCGGAGCCCACCCGCTCCCAGCCAGGCCCCGGGACCACCGTCCTCGGCGGTCCAGTTTAGAACCCCGCTGGGAGCACAGCAGCAGCCCTCAAAACCCGAGGATCCCTCCCATCTCGGCATTGCGGGGTGGCCCGGGGCAGCTCGCTGGTGCAAGGTGGCTGGGGGGTGCGCACCCACCGACAGACCGCAGCGAAGAGGGGAAGAGGCGGACGAGTCTCACGCAGGCCGTAGAGCAACCCCGACACGCTCACACAGCGCGGCTCCCGGACGCCCCCGCTATATATGCCCCATCTCGCCCGCCCCGCCCCGCGTCTCTGCAACACGTGATGGAGGCCAGGGACGAGGAACACCTCAGGTCAAAGAACGGGTGTCGCTTTCAGTTGCCTGCCTGCGCCTCCTCCCACCGCCGCGGGCCAGCGGTATGACCAGTCAGGGAGAGACGTGAGAGGGGGCTGCCAGTGGGTAGGGACCTCCGCCAGGTTCAAGGGCCCTGGAAGGAGGGGGCGGCTGGAGGGAGGGGCGGGGCACCTGCCTGGGGGAGGGGATCTTAGCCTGATCCGGGCCTAAGGAGAGACAAAAGAGGAGGAGCATATATAGCGGGGGCGCCCGGAGCCGCGCTGTGAGCACGTGGGGGTTGCTGTATAGGTCTGCGGGATTCGCCTGTCGCTTCCCTCTTTGCCTCGGTGTCAGTCGGTGGGGAGCACGTGTTTTCCCGTTTTAGGGGCCCAGCGAGGTCGGTGGCAAATTGCGGAAGGAGCCCAGGTGGCCTTTGGGGTTTTGAAAAACGCAAATGAACTCTTAAGTAGTAGAGCACGCAGGAGCGAGGCCCTGGGTTCTAGCTCCAGACCAGGAAGGTAATTAATCCTTAGAGTGAATCCTCAGAATGGAATTCTTAAAAAAGGGCAACCTTGGCTGCTTCTAGGATATTTTTAGCAAACAAGTAACATTTAAAGTTTATGAAATTCTAACCCAACAATGTGCTTGTGGAAAGTTCTTCCACTGCTCTTTTGACTGTTTAGACAATTTGTCAAACACTTTTCTAATTTAAAGATGAATGGAAATTTTCAAAAAGAGCCCTAGCATGAGCGTCTTCTGTTGTCTTTCCTTCTTCTCTTCCTCTTTTTCCTTTTCCTCAAAAGACTTAATTACAAGTGATTTCCTAATGATATGGCCTGTGCTTATGCAAGGTGGCCAACTTTCATTTTTTCTTTTTTAAAATCTTTATTTACTTTTCACGTGGTGCTGAGGATCGAACCCAGTGCCTCACATATGGTAGGCGAGCGCTCAACAGCTGAGCCACAACCCCAGCCCCAACTCTTTTCTTCTAATTCATAGTTTAAAAAAAATTTTTTTTTCTCTCCCTGGTACTGTTAAAGAGCTGGGGCCTTCTGAAACACTGAGGTAGTGTTAAAATACACCTTTCAAACCTAGATTTGGGTGATGAAGTCAGATTTCAGACATGCCACGCAGAGTAACAGGAATGAATTTATTGAAGGGACAGGAGAAAGGAGACCCTCTCCAAAGAGAGAGTGGGTCGTCTCCGAGAGGAGAGAAACAATGTGCCTCTCTTTTACTCTAGTGTTATTGGGAATCCCAGAGAAGTTCCCAAAGAATCCTGCTCAGGTCCACCCTCTTTACTTTTGACTGACAGCAAGATGACATCAGACTTCCAAGTACCCACTGCCATGGCAACTCTAGATCACCTTAGCCCATGCTGATCAGTTCATAATTGGATTATTAACCATATAGTGTTACAGATTTTATGGTTAGGAGGAACTGTCATCTCCCAGACTTTTAGGATCTGCTCACAAAAGTCTTCCCCTTAAGAGTAATTTATCAACATTATTTTGGGCCTGCATTTCTCCTGCACTTAACAGGTAGTTTGCTGAGGAATGTGACATGTCCTGTCCATTTAGGCCAGTCAGGGCTGCAGGTATAGCTTCTTGGAAAAGAAAGCATGTACAGGTCAGCACTGTGGACCTATTTTATAGGATTATTCTCTTAACTTCATGTTCCCTCCATTCTCATCTCTCTCTTCCCTAACAGTAATAGGGATTGACCACAGAGAGCTTTATTACTGAGCGGTATCTCCAGCTAGTCTTGAACTTGCACTCCTCCTGCCTCAGCCTCTCAAGCCTCTGTGATTACAGCTATGCACCACCATGTCCAGCCTCCATTCTTTTTTAAATTTGATTTTGAGACAGGATCTCCCTGAATTGCTCAGGCTGGTATTGAACTTTTGAAACTCCTGTTTCAGTCTTCCCAGTCCCTAGAATTACAGGTTTGCACCACCGTGGCCAGCACTGCTTGATTTTTTTTTTTTTTTCGTAAGAAATCTAAATTATCAACATCCAAGTCTCAGTTTTTTCTTGTGTAACAGGGACTTGAACCAGGTTATTTTTGCACACAAATTGTGTGGCCACCTGAGGCCAAGTATAGGTTTAGTGGATTTCTTCCCCTCCAAGTGAGATTGCCACTGGCTTTGGTCTCCAACCTCTTGGGAAAAGTAGTGCCATCCCATCTTTACAGTGGAGGCAAAGGAGAGGCTGTAAAACACTGGAGCCCCAGAGACAAGCTGTTTGTCAAGCTATGGAGTTAAAACTGTGAGAATCTTAGAAGGCATTCACCTCGGTTACTTAAGCAATGTGTGTGGGAAAGGACGCTGTTTATCATATTTAAAGCTCCAGATTGACCCATAAAAATGTATCCCTGGGGCTGTGGCTCAGTGGTAGAGCATGTGGCATGTGTGAGGCGCTGGGTTCCAGATTCTCAGCACCGCATATAAATAAATGAATAAAATAAAGATCTATTAACAACTAAAAAATATTTTTAAAAAATGTATCCCTAGCTGTGTGTGGTGGGGTACACCTGTAGTCTCATCACTCAGGGAGGCTGACGTGGGTGGAGCCCTTGAGTCCAGGAATTTGGGACCAGTTTGGGCAACATAGCAAAGCACCTGTCTCTAAAAAATAAAATAAAAATCTCTTTATTTAGCCAGACTCAGTGGCCTATGTCTGTAATCCCAGTATTTGGGGAGCAGAAGGATTACAAATTCAAAGCCAGCCTCAGCAATTTAGCAACACCCTGTCTCAAGAAATTAAAAGGACTGGAGATGTAGCTCAGTGGCTAAACACCACCCCCCAAAAAAAAATTTTCTATTGAGTTAATATCTAGAGTCTCTTTTGGGCATTGTAGATTTTTTGGTATTTTTGAAATTGAAAAGTTGAATGATTTTTTTTTTGGGGGGGAGGGGGTATTTTTGAAATTGAGGACAACTTCCTCATGCTGAAAGTAAAGGCTAAAAGGCTAGAAGGTGAGGAATATCTAAGAGGCTAAGTAGAGATTACCCCCTGCCCCACCAGTCCTGCACAGGTTAACTAAATCTGCATGTGTATTTACTGCATTTTTTTTCTCAAATTGCTATCTCTATTAAATTTTTCTTTCCACAGAGCCTCCAAAGGTGGAAATTGATTCATGTGTTTTGGGGTGTTTTGTTTGTTTTTGAACCCAGGGGTGCTTTACCATTGAGCCATATCACCAAGACCTCTTTTTTTTTTTTTTTGGAACTTGATAAGTTCTTAGGGCCTTGCTAAATTGCTGAGGCTGGCCTTGAACTTGTGATCCTCCTGCCTCAGCCTCCTAAATAACTGGGATTACAGGCATGTGCCACCACAATCAACTAAGATGGAAATTTTGAAACAAAAATTTTCCTTAAATTGGCTTTGAATAAAACCTATTTTCCTGCCAACTTGACTGAATATTTGTAAAATAATGAGAGGTGTAGCCTAACCTCTCCAAAACAGTAACAGTACCATAAGGTAATGTTATTGAAAGCTTCTCCTTGCATCCAATGCCAATCCAGTAATGAGGACACATTTTTGAGAAAAAGGAAAAACTTTTATTGCTTTGCTAGCACAAGAGAAACAAAGGGGTCTCCTGTCCCAGAGGCTGTGATTCTGTCTATCAGAGGGAACAGGAGGTTTTTAAAGAGGTGAATCCAAGGCTGCATTCAACATGTTCTCTGTCAGAGTTGTAATTCACTTCTTAATTTGGGAGCTGGTCTTTTCTGAGATCTTCTGGTGTCATCCCCAAATCTAAATTACTTTTTTCCTATGGTGGGTGTGTCTTCAAGGACTGATAACTCTGCCTAAAATGAGTGAGAAAGGCAATCCTGTGTCTCCTGAGATTATGGAGAGAAAGAAGTTAGGGAGGAGGAGAAAGAGAAGAAGAGAAAGAAACATGCCCTTTAAAAAATAAGTCACGGTGTCAGAGCAGCAAGGGCTAAAATGGACTATAACAGGGGTTCACTTGATGCTTTGACTATATCCCTGGGGCTTTGAAACTTTCATTTTTTTTTTTTTCTTTTCCCAGACTTCTCCTCCTTGGTCTTCTTTTTTTCTGGTCTCTCCTCTCTATTCTTATTTTCTCTTTTTCACCTCTATAAAACCCCCCCTGTTCCTATGGATGGGCAGAATCACAGCCTTTGGGAAAGGAATCCCCTGTGTTTCTCCTTTGCTAACAAAGCAATAAACCCTCTTTTTTCTTTTTCTCAACTGTGTCCTTGAGGTCGGGGATACAGATCAGCTGGTAGAACACTTATCTAGCTTTCGCAAGGCCCTAGGTTCAATCCCCAGCACTATCAAAAACAAACAAAAAAACCCCAACTGTGTCCCCATTGGATTGGTATCAGGGACAAGGACCAAGCTTTCAGCAACAGGACCACTGTTACAATAAAGCTCTATGTAATTTTCGGTCTATATTATCACTCTACCCCTATTCTATACATATTTCTCAGTAATCTGTCAGGTATTGGGTTGGTAGTAGCTAGCAATGGGAAGTGAAATGTATGTCAAAGTCACAGGTTTACTTCTAAGTACTCTTAAGAGTTTTCTTTAAGTTACTGCCAAGACAGAATAAATAATTTGTAGCAGATAGCCTGTAGAAAAACATCAGAGTATGCAAAACTTGAGGATAAACAGACAAAAGTTAAAGGGATAATGGGGAGGGGGATGCCTCAAGAAAGGATTTATGGAACTTTTTTTGGGAGGGAGGTTACCAGGGATTGAACTCAGGGGTACTCAACCACTGGCTACATCCAGTGTTTTGTTTTGTTTTAAGTATACATGGGGTTTTTTAATACCTTTATTTTGTTTATTTTTTTTTCAAAATTTTTTAAATATTTATTTTTTAGTTATAAGTGGACACAATATCTTTATTTTATTTATTTATTTATTCATTGGTGCTCCTGAAGATCAAACCCAGTGC